AAAAAAAAAAAAAAAAAAAAAAAAAAAAAAAAAAAGGGCTCTCACAGCGTATAATTCTCTAGCTCTACAGTGCCGTTTTATATCAAAACTGAGTGGAATTCCTTCAGGCAGCAATACTCGGATATTAACTTCAACGGTTGAGCAAACAGAGGAAGAATCCTCCATTAAAAACGCCTAGAAGCAAGAAATTTATAAACTTCTCAAGATGCAATTTGGTGAAAGAAAAATAACAATGAACCAAACAAGCAGAAATAATTCGACAAACTTGTATGATTTCAGAATCCGCAATAACTTTAACAGCGCAAATCTTTTCCAAATACATTTCAAGCCCACGTCTACGCGAGTCCAACTGCTGCTCAGAGAGGCCAAAAGGCCACTTGTGAGGAAGTTTTGGAAAGTCGAAGTCCACAAATTCTCTTTTCAAAATGTTGTGAAGGTTAACAAACTCACTATATCGCCGTGACCCAAGATGTCTTCCTGCCATATGAATATTGTAAACCTTGAATTGAAATATTATTAAGCAGCTGGAACAAAGCAGCTTTCACATCTAAAGCTACTCTCAATGTTGTTAAATAACACAAGCTTCTAGCCAATAATTCATCCAACAAAATAATATAAAAAACTTCGTTTCCACTATACTGAACTTCAAAACATCCAATGATTTCAAAATCAAACATTAACCAACATAAAAGAATACTTCAAACACAAAACAAACAATAAATAAATAAATAAGAAAAAAAATAAAAGAAAAATGAAAGCTTGCCACGAAACGTTCGCCGTTGGCAGAAACCGTCTGATAACTTGGAATTGTGACAGGAAGAGACCGTTTTTCGGTATAATCATATCTTAAGGTAGCAAGTTAGTTTCAGAATAGCTTTAAAGAAAGTCAAAGATATGAAGGAAAGGCACGAAGAGCTACTTGCACTTAGTTGAACAGTCTTCCACCGAATCGCCATCGAAACGTTCAGCGTCTATGGCATCAACAGATATAACAACAAGCGATAGTCGATCGCCACCATCTTTTATCAACTGCACTACTTGTTTATGAGTAGCTCCTTCAACATTTACTCCGTTCCTAAAAAGATGCCCAAACCAAAAAAGTAAAAGATTTTAAATAAATAACAGAGAGGTGCAAAACTTACACCTGAAGAATCCGATCGCCTTTCATTAGTCCAGCTTTTTCAGCTGCGCCATTCTTTAAAACCGCGCTGACATGCTGAAGTGGCGCATACAACTCGCCGTTAATACTTTTTAACTGGCCACCTTCGCCAATCTGACCCTTTACGTTAAACCCAAAGCCTTTAAGTTAAACCAAACTTCGATAAGGAAGCAAAGAGAAAAATTAGAATGAGCATGCAAAATAAGAAATGGAGCCAGACAAAAATTGAAAGTTGTAGACGAAGTAATTAACTAAAAATAAGAAAGAAAAACTGAGTTGCTGGCAGAACCTGTTTCAGACTTGATAATTGTAACATGATGTGGTTGCGGATTAAAGTTGCGCCGTTTGGGGAAGTAATAGTCGTCACTTGAGTCACTGCTCCTGCCCATCCCATATGGCGCAATTCCCGAAAAAAACTTGATAAGTAAATGAAGATGTGGAACATAGGAACAGGAAGCGCTATACGTAAATTTTTCAAAACAGAGACCCTCCTTAATATAAGATTGAAACCATAACCAAAAATATATATATTTATATATTGTACTCTGAAGAAATAGAAAAAAACGACAGTTTGCAGCAGTACAAGCAGACCAAATAACACGAAAATCATTAGATGAAAATAAACAGAGGCAAATCAAACCCAACCAAATGAAAAAACTGTTACAGTAATGTTCCGTCAGTCAGCGTTTAATGAGAAACATACTTACACGAAAATAAATGTAAATAAGTCAGCCAAAATAAAAAAAAAAAGATTTTTCTTTAGCTAAAACTTAAGCAGTTGGAAATAAAGTAAACTGAGCTAGAGCAAAAAGAAAAAGAACTGAAATAAAATAAAAAAAGGAAATTAATATTTCATGAAAGCGTTTATTCGAAGCAAATAAAGATAAGATTAAAGAATACAATAAAGAGTCGAAAGAAAATTAAAATAAATTTATCATACAAAAAAGAGAATTTAAAACTGAACAAAACAGAGAATTCTTATTCATTATTTGTTGCAAAGATTCGTTGAAAACAAATACGTCGTTTGCACCAAACAAACAAACAAAAAAAAAAGGTGCACATACAGAAATTAATGCACTCTTACGTACGAACATACACTGATGATTGTTTTTTTAAAAAGTTCTGAAAAAAGAAGAAAAAATGAAAATAAAATAGAAACAAATGAACAAATTACACCAAAAAGGAAAAAAAAAAACAAAAAAGTGATTGTGGAAGTCGCCACAGTGTTTAACAAAACATCGAATTGTGAAAATGCTGCTCTTATATCCAAAAACCAAAAGTGTTATTAATAGCCATCGCCGGTTGCATCGTCAATTTTTCAGTCGATTTTGAAAATGCACAACTAAAGTATTGGCAGATTACCACAACGTTTAGAAAACGTTTCAAGACAACAGTTTATAGTACAGCTAAATGTCGCCTTATTATGACGCTTCAAGGCTGTGCGAAACCTTTAAAAAGCAAAGAAAAAACGACCTTCCTGGTAGCCTCAGTTGCATTTTTCTAAGAAACTTAGAATTAAGCTTTGATACAAAGGCTGAATAGTTTTCTAGCTGCTGTTTTGTAGATTTGATTTTTAAGAACGGAACATTAATGAAGAAATCTTTAGCTGTGTATCAGAATTTGTTGAATTTTAATAATGAACTTAACCAGACTTTCTTTTAAACAACTCCACTTACTGGAATTTTTCTTTGGAAAAAAATTTTTTCAATGAATCCAGTTGCGATAGTTAAACAGTTATTTCTTGTTTTTTAAAAAAAAAACAACTTTTGTTGTGGGCCTCAGATGTACAAGTGAAACCAAAAAGACTATTGTCTCTTCTACTTTTTTAAGCACAGAAAAACTTTATGGGCAAGGAATATTGTAAAGAAGTGGTGTGTAAGTCGTGGGACTACGGTTAAAAATTTCTTTACGGTGTAATAACTTTCCGCCGGAAGCCTACCTACTATAAACTTC